ATCATGGCCGCGGGTCCCCACTGTTCTATGTCTGCCCCTGACGGAGTGACTTGCAGGGACACGCATCAGCAGGTGGGGACGCAGGGGCTGGTACCCAGGGCCCCGTGAGTGAGCTCTGGCCCCGTAATGCAGATGACAGTTCTATATACAGTTCCTTAGTGACATATACTGTTCCTAAGCCCCCGGGGGCTGGTACCCAGGGCCCCGTGAGCGAGCTCTGGCCCCGTAATGCAGACCATAGTGACGGCAGTTCTATATACTGTTCCTTAGTGACATATACTGTTCCTAAGCCCCCTTCCCCGGGCAAAACCGCCATTCTCCCACTCAGGACATGCCCTCGTCCTGAGCAAACTGGACCTGGCCGCCACCTGTGGGCCCAGTGTGGGTTCCTGCTCTCTCCCCAGAAATCCATGTCCCCCCGCCGGCCCCACTGGGTCCCCCCAGTGCTTTAGAGAGAGGGTGCCGCCCCTGCTTGGCTCTGGCCGGCCTCACACTCCCTGTGGGTCCGCGGGAGCCCAGAGGGCAGAGGGCCCTCCCTGGCGTTTGCCATCCGGGCGTGTCCCACCTCCCTCGGGCAGGGAGGATCCCAGCAAAGAGGTAGAGCCCCAGGGCCTGGGCTCCGTGCCCCGAGTGGCTCCGTCCTGCCTGGCACTCGCTTCTCACCGGCCCGAGTCTGCTGCCCGGGGAGCAGCCAGGCCTTACCTCCCCCGGGCCCCGGGGCCCCAGGAGCACCCTACTCCCAGCAACGCCCGCAGCACCCGCTCCTCCGGCCAGAGCTTCGAGCAGCTGCGGCGGGAGTGCCTGCAGAAGGGGGTCCTGTTCGAGGACCCCGACTTCCCTGCCACCGACTCCTCTCTCTTCTACAGTGAGAGGCCCCAGATCCCTTTCGTGTGGAAGCGGCCAGGGGTGAGTGCAGCCAGGGGCGGGGCGGGGGGTAGAAGGGGGCACTCCTGGGAGGGGGCAGCAAGGAGAGGAGGGGCTGGAGGGGGTGCCCACCCTGACTGGCTCACCTGCTGCGACTCCTGCGCAGACGCTGCGAGGGCAGGAGCTGTAACTGGACAGCCAAGGGGTCCGGGCTGCCGGGCACGACTTGAGCCAATTCAGCAGAGACGGGGCTGAGTCCTAGATGAGCGTTGATTCCAGTCCTGCCGCAGCGTGGAGAGCAGCAGGGCACCCACAAACATCTGCTCTGCCCCCCGCCATCAGCCAGCTGCTTATATTGGGGAGAAGGACAAGGGTGACGTGGGGAGGTAGGAGTGACAGGCATGGGACAGGACGCACGGGAGAATCGTTACAGGTTACAGGTCCTGCGGGCTGGGAGGGGAGGGCGGAGGCACCCTGGGACCAGGTCACAGGCTGTAGGGGCTGCGGGTTGTACGTAGAGCCCGGGTGCCTCCGGGACCAGGTTGCGTCGGCCGCCAGGCTGTCAGTCTTTCCATGACGGTGGGCAGCTCTCGGGACAGGGGGACGGACCGCATTCCGATGGGAGCGCCCGTGACCCGGGGCGTAGGGCTCCCAGCCAGGGTAGGATGCGCTTCCTCTATCAGCACAGAGCCGTCACGGATAACAGAGCAGCATGAATATTTCTTATCATGGCCGCGGGTCCCCACTGTTCTGTGTCTGCCCCTGACAGAGTGACGTGCAGGGACACGCATCAGCAGGTGGGGACGCAGGGGCTGGTACCCAGGGCCCCTGGCTGCCCCCCTCCCCAAGCTCAGGAGGCGGTGAGGGGGGGGGGGCAGAGCTTTCTCCAGGACAAGCCTCAGGGGGCACATCGAGAGTGAACCTGCGAGATGGAGGGTGGCCGTTCAGAGCCCCCCGTGGGCACCAACGCTGAGGTGACCCATGGGGAGTGCCCAGTGGCTTCTGGACGCTCTTTCCTGGGTGCTCAGTGGGGTGGGCACTCCGGCAGGTGCCCAGGACAGGCGTGATGGAGGGAGACCATGAAACAGGTTCTCTCCCAACCAGGAGTCTTGATGCCCAAAGGGAGCCTGCATCCGTGCCACCCCGCCCAGCAGCCGCGAGGTCCCCGGGGCCGCCAGCTGGTGCCCGGGAGTCAATATTTGCCCGGCTGATTAGTCAGGGCCACCTCTGTCCGGGCAGCGCCGGCTCATTCCCTCGGGGTGGGTACTGGCCTGGGAGCGGCTCCCGTGGGGACAGGTCGCCGTGGGTGAGGAGGGGCAAAGAGTGCTGGCCCTGAAGGTGAGACCTCAGTGCGGGTCCCACTCACGTGTCCTGCGACTTGGTGACGGCGCTTCACTCCCTGAGCCTCAGTCTTCTCACCTGGTAGGTGGGTCAGTAAGGACCAATGTGGACCCAAAGCCAAGCACACAGGCGTGTTCAGTCAGTGATGGCTGTTCTCACTATGACGCTTCCTGGCACCATCAGCACCATCTCCGTCCTCAGCTCTGAGTCTCGTCTTACAGCGGAGTGTCCTGATCTCCCTACGTTTCATATATGTGTGCGTGTGTTTTGTACTTGTGTGCACATGCATGTGCACGTGTGTCCATGTGTGCGTGTGCTCGCCGACACGCCATCCTGCCGGGTACCGTGCAAGCGGCTCCCGGTTCTCTGGCGTCTCCCTGAGCCGGCAGGGCTGCCCCGGGAGGGCTGAGCCTTCCTCCTGAGGAATCCCAGTAGCTCCCCCCCACCCCCCGTCCTCACTGGTCTCCCTGCCTCCTGCCTGACCTGCGCCCCCTGCCCCAGGGCTCCTGCCACCTGCCCAGCGCCCTCCGGGGGCTCAGCAGAGCCTGGATGAGGCAGGGCTCCCCCACCCGTGCTGCCCTCGCGCCCCCTGCCCCCAAAAAACCCCTGCCCCCTCCTCACACAGCATCCATCCCCTCCAGCCCGCATGCCCCGTTGGCCTGGGCGGCCCTTCCCTCTGGGAAACTCGGACTCCAGCTCATGCCTCCCCGCGGAGCCTCTTCACCCCGGGCACCTGGCGCCTGGGCACTCAGCACCTTCCCTGTGCAGCTGCCATTCGCTGCCTCAGAACGTGTCCTGGGAGCAGGAGCCCCTCTGTCCCGAACCCCACTGTGCCCTCAGCTGCACGCACCATCTGGCACAGTTTAAAGATGGCAACAGCCAATGGTTACCATGGCAACAGCCAACCGTTAGGATGGAAACCACCCACAGCTACCATGGCAACAGCCAAGGGTCACTATGGCAACAGCCAATGGCCACCATGGCAACAGCCAATGGTTACTATGGCCCGGGCACCATTCCCTGTTAGCCAGGATTCCATCACTTCATCTCCAACAACCCTGAGAGGGGGGCATTATCCTCTCTCCCATCTACCTAAGAGCCCAGAGCCCAGAGCCTAATGCCGCCCACAGCTAGGGCAGGGTAGGGCAGGGCTGGCCCCAGGCCACTGTGCTCACTGCCAGGCTGCCTCCTGATGGCGTGGGGACAGCTCACCACCGTGAAAGTGCAGTGTGGCTGCAGGCAGAGCCGGCACGGGGTGCGCCCGCCTCGGGCAGCCCTCCTCTGCCGCTGCCTCTGCCTCTGTCCTTCCGGCAGAAAATGCCACCCCCCACCTGACAGCCACCCTCTGACAGCTGGGCCGCCTTCTCTCTTTCATTTTTTTAAAATATGTTTTTATTCATTTCAGAGAGGAAGGGAGCGGGAGAGAGACAGCCATGATGGGAGAGAATCATGCATCGGCTGCCTCCTGCACGCCCCACACTGGGGATGGAGCCCGCAACCCGGGCAAGTGCCCTGACCGGGAATCTAACTGTGACCTCCTGGTTCCTAGGTCGATGCTCAACTGCTGAGCCACACCGGCCGGGCTAGACTACCTTCTCTCTGATCCCCAGACAAAATCAGCCTGTGGGGGTTGACAATTTTCTCAGGGGTGCCCTTAGGATCAGCACCTGCGGGAGGGAAGGGGCGGAACTGGGCAGGGGGAGCCGTGGGTGGTGGTGTGGCCCCATGCTGGGGTCAGCCAAGCGCACGGGGTGCTCTGGAGCTGGGAGGGTCCCTGCGGTGGGGGGACGGGCCCCCCTGCATCTGTAAACCAACACCTGCCTCTTCCCACTCAGGGTGGGGAGGGGAAGGGGGAGAGTCCCACCCTTGTATTCCACCTCCACCCCGGCTTCGTGTGTAACGTGCAGCCTTCAGCTCACCTTCTCTTGGTCAAACCTGGAATTTCTCTGAGATCAAAGCTGGACACACACAGCTCATCCCCAGACACGGTTTCCTACCTGGGAGTCGGGCTGGGAGAGGCTCGGGGCTTTGCAGAGTCCCTTACAGGCTGGGGGACCGGGGACAAGGTGTGGGGTGGGGACCGGGGTGCCGCTTGCAGGACGGAGCTCAGGCCCCGGGTGTGGGGGGAGCGGGGGCGGGAGGG